CTATGAGCACAAAAGGGAGGCACAACAGGTCAAACGAACAGGTGGAGAAAATCGCTAAAAAGCGACAAGAGTACAACCAGCGGCAAGCCGAATATCGGCAGTCGCAAGAGCATTTCACCTACTCTTCCAGTAACTACTGGTGGGATAAATCACGACCATCAGGTCGTTCCCAAACATACCACAGGTGGTGGGAGAGGCCACAGCCTCAACGTCCAAACGAGCCACCGTATCCTCCACCAGGAAGAGAGCAGGCATCCTCTTCATCCGAACAACCTGATCTACCAAGATCAAGTTCCAGATCTCAAAGGCCAAACGTGGTCGAGAAAATCAACATGTCTTTGGACGAGCTTCGCGAAATCGACGAAGAGCAGTCACCAACTCAGAGTGACATTGAGGAGCACGAGCGTGAGACATCAAACCTGATGGATGCGCAACGATCAGAGGAAGACGAAGATGAATCCTCAAGCAGGAGGAGAAGAAAATCTTCACGTCCACCATCAGCACCAAGTGCAAAAGCAGTCAAGACCGCTGCAACCGCAGCAGGACTGTCGGGATGGTTTGGACACCCCAAACGTGGGGGGGCAAATGCAGAGTCGACAGAGACCGACCACTCCTCGCTGCCTGATTCACTAACAAGTGATGAGTATTCATTCTTCAGCATTGCATGGAATGTTTTCCTTATGCTGATGGGGCTTCGGTGGATGTGGAAGCAGTTGACGAGAGCTCCTGTTCAGTGTATGGAGCACCACCCGAAGTCAAAGGCAGCAGCCAAACAAAGTGCTCCCTTCCTCGAACCCGAGGACGAGCCTCAGTGCAGAGACACGCTAAGACCCAACAGGGTCAACTCAGGAGAATCGACAGAATTGCGACCAATCTGGCATACTGCGAGTAGCCAGTGCTATCATCTCTCCAGTCAATGTTATCAGCTTAAACAGGCCAGATACGTCGCGAAAAATTCTCTGCAAAACATGTCTTCATGCCGTATCAACGGCGGAGATCCGGAGAAACGACCCATTCAACAGAGGTGATACACGACCACGTGGCACCGAAAGAGACATTGATCGCCTTCAGGCTTACGAAACCTCCAGCAATATTCCTCAGATGAGGGAGTTGTTTCAAGACGCCCTTGCTGCACAAATGGCCGACGAAGCTCTAGGTGTGTCATACACCACGTTTCCAAAGAGCTCAGCAGCAAAGGCCAGAGGGCAGACGGCACTATCAAGTGCTAAATCATCAATGTCTGCTGCAATGCCACCAGTGCCTTCCAAGGCAGCAAGCATCTCACCTCCTCCGAAAAATCCTCCGCCTAAAGCCAAGGCATCCTCTCAAGGATCGGCGTTTGCACCCTCGGCGAGACCAAAGGGTCCTACAAGACGAGGTGGCATGAACAAGCGCATTCAGCGCAAGGCTATCAAGGAAGTCCATGAGCAAGGACTCTGCAATCAAGCAGATGCAGCTCTTGATGAAACCAAACTTGGTTCGGCTATGAATCAGATGTGCAGAAACATCATCAACAGGCACATTGAAACCATTGATGCCACTATCGAAACAACCGAACGGTTTCATCAAAGTATGCTACAGCATATCGAAACCTTTGACGAGGAAGAAGCTTTCAGCGCGGAGTTTGTGCCAGTCATTGAGGTACTTCAACGAAGCCTCACGAACGATGACAAGCGTGTCGACACTCTATCCAGAGTACAGATTCTTGTCACAGCTTTGAAAAATGCAAAGACGATCTTCAATCAACTGATCCACAACTCGCTCGAAATCGAGAGGAGACACGATAATCTCCGGAATGTCCTGGAGACCCTCTTCGACGACCAAAGCTCAGAGGACGATGAAGACGAAGAGGAAGACGGAACACCGTCACCTTCAACACACGAGTATTGGGATAGCAGACATGCTAACGCTTTATCTCCATCAGGAGACGAGTCAGAGCACTCATGGCCATCCTCCGATGGACAAGTCCGCCAAAAGGCAAAAGCGAAGGCAAAGGCTAAACAGCCAGCATGTCCACAAGGCTACTCCCAGGCAACCAGCTCAGAAGCTGCGCCAAAAGCAGAGGCAAGGCCGAAAACATCCGATCAAGGATACGGCATGCCAGATGCAGCTTTCACTAGAGCTGAGAATCGACTCCTCGGTATTTACTCTAGTAGCGAGGAAGACCATTCGGACCCGGATGAGCCACATCCGAACGTCCACAGCAGATCCTATGATCCAACCATGGATAGGACACAAAGGTAAACAATCCTCAACAGCAGTCGAGAAAGAAAGCTGATACTCTAACAAGAGTTCAGTGAGCTGCTGCACAATTCGATGTAGAAGTCGTTGTCACAGACCTGATCGTGTACAGAAGATCTCTCTGACAAGACTCATGCTTGCAAGCTCTAAAAGGAGTGTGTGTGTGTGTGTGTCAACTTTTCTTAAGTCATGGAATGCACTCGTGCCGAGGTACGAGGTACGACAGTGTATGCTAGCGCTAGTACCCCTGTGTGAAACATCGAAGGTGTTTCGCTAGAAAACGTCGAAGGGGTTTTCCTCTGAAGCTAAACAGAACGGTGTCTATCTGTTAGCTAGAGTGTCTGCACATGGCCGGTGGAATGAGCGCTATTCCGTGGCCATTGTGCTGAAAGGCCCCCAGCTATTGGGGGGCAAATTTCGAGTGGGGGTAGGAAGGGGAACAGGGCTAATTAGCCCTGCTTTGGGTGCGCTGCCATGTCGGACAGCGACGCTACCCTGGCGCCGACCATGCCAGATGGCGCAGCTACAGCCGTGGACTGCGTCACTGTGGTTGGGGATTCCCCGCCCCCGGCTAAGTTCTCCGTGTCCAACTGAGGTTCGGGGGGGACGAGCTCCCTCCCGGGAGGTATCGTGGGTCGCGCAGACCCCAAAGGGTCTTGGAGCAGCAGTGGTTGACCTGGACGACGCGGAGGACGTCGCCAAGCAGCTAGCACGAGAGCTGGGCATCCCTTACCAGCCATGGCTATGGGATGGAGTTTACTGCTGGCTACAGGAAGCTCGGCAGGAGGCTACGCTCTACCAAAGGGTGCACGGCCAGGACGACATCACCTGGAGGGCCCGGATGCCACGAGAGACGGAGCCGAGGAAGCTACGCACCAGCCCGTGGTGCCGCTAAGGCCTTTCCCCGGGGAGCGGAACCGGAAGGTGCTACAGCCGGGCACGATCGGTGCCGCTAGGGAAGAGCGACTGCTGGAAGTTTGGGCAAGGAAGCTCCGTGAGGATCTGCTGGAGATACACGCCCCCGTTCTCGCTAAGTTAACTGCACGGGAGCTTGGACCCAGTGCGGGCCGCTATGTTGCTCCCGGGGAAGACGCGGGCTTCTACCTTGAAGCGCTACCTGAGCTACTACAGGCAGTGGCGCCAATGTCAGGCCGCCTCCGGGCACCGCCGCTGACTTGGTGGATTACCTCCTTGCTAGGAGCGATGAACCATGTGGCCGGTCGGTTCCGGAAGCTATCCTCAAGGCTATCTCCTGGATGGAGAAAGTGGCTGACTTTCCAGTCGAGCTACGGACCACCTTTGGTCGCCTGGTTTGGGCTGCTAAGGACAGCATCGTGGAGCAGCTAGCGGAGGGGGCCCCTCTGATCAAAAGGGCCCCGCGCTACCCCGTCTACATGCTGGTACAGCTAGAGCTGGTCGTGGTCAATGCCGCTCTGCCCGTGGGCTGGCGAGTCTGGGCCTGGGCAAAATTGGTCAAGGTCTGGGCCACGCAAGGTGGTCCGACCTCCAGGCTATTTTGCCGGCGGAGCTAACGATGGTGGAGGGTCGTCTCACCACCATCCTCCGGAAGACGAAGACCTCGGGCGCTACGAGAAGGGTCAAGGAGCTGCCGGTCGTGGTGTCGGAGCACGCCTTCCTGGTCGCTAAGAACTGGTTGGTGACCCGCTTTGATCTCCTGAAGGCCCACGCTAACTACACCCGGGACTACCTCATGCCGCGACTAGACCGGGCAAGACAGCTGGAAAGGAAGATCGCTACCTACGCGGACGCTATGGTGGCCACTGCCGGGCTGCTGGCTATCATGGGCTACCCCCGGGAGGTCCAGGGCTATTGGGCGGAGCACAGTGAGCGCTCCGTGCTACCCACGGGGTTGGCGCTAAAAGAGATCCCGCCGCAGGATAAGGATCTGCTGCTAGGACGTTGGAAGCCCGAGGGTTCCGATGTGTACGCTGGATCCTTTGCGGGTAGAGTGTCCCGGCTCCAAGCTCTTTTCGCTTCCCCAGCTAGAGGGGATGACCGCTACGAGGCGCTAGACGAGCGCGAAATTGCAGGAGTCCCGACCGAGGCGGAGGAGCTAGAGGTTTTCGAGGAACCGGACGAGCCCGAGGAACCGCTAGGGGCAGGGAGCAGCTCCGAGGCTTCTGCGGAGGTCATGGAACGGCCTGCTAAGAAGCAGGCCAGGGCTAGAAAGGCTGCTAGGTCGGAACCCTCTTCACCTTCCTCCTCTCTCTCTCTCTCTCTCTCTCTCTCTCTCTCTCTCTCTCTCTCTCTCTCTCTCTCTCTCTCTCTCTCTCTCTCTCTCTCTCTCTCTCTCTCTCTCTCTCTCTCTCTCTCTCTCTCTCTCTCTCTCTCTCTCTCTCTCTCTCTCTCTCTCTCTCTCTCTCTCTCTCTCTCTCTCTCTCTCTCTCTCTCTCTCTCTCTCTCTCTCTCTCTCTCTCTCTCTCTCTCTCTCTCTCTCTCTCTCTCTCTCTCTCTCTCTCTCTCTCTCTCTCTCTCTCTCTCTCTCTCTCTCTTCCTGCTTTGCGAAATGCCGCTAAATTTTAGAGGGGTGTGCTTGGGAGGGGGGGGAGGGGGGGTCTGTGGGAAGGGGGGGAGAGTGGAGAAAGAAGAGAGTGGAGGGAACCACGTTCTTGCTACATGTCACTTGTGTCAACAGCCAACTGCAAAGCGGAGCCTGGACCTAGTGCAAGTCCCTACGGCAGAGGCTCGAGGCTCTTTTCCTAGCGCGCTACCCGATCCCTGAGCCTTCATGTCGAGATTCACAGATGCGTCTGGCCAACTGCACACAGAGCGTTCGGTTGACACTCCTCCAATTTCATTTGGCTGACGCATCCTTCAGCTATCGCCATGCTTCGTTGGCTTGAGCTGGGGGAGGATCGTTCGGACTTCTGCTCTGCACAAGAGTCACCTACAGGGTTGGCCATGAACATGCGAAAGCTGTCCCGTAGCGGTCTGCTTCGTTTAGTGAGGGCATCCGCTTTCTGTTCTTCGGTTGGTACCCAACGTAGGTTCCTGCAAGACTGACGAAGTCCGGCCACATCGATCTCGACCCTCTTCTCCTGGAAGTTAGTGCTCAAGCGATGTACAGCATCCCACAGCGAGCGAGCATCCGTAACAGGAAGCACCTCATAGAGGGGTCGCTCTTGCATCGTCGCCTTGTAGTTGCCGTCGGTGAGCTCGCTGAACATAGACGCCAGGAAGTAGGCGTGGTCCACCGATCGGTCAAGTGAAGCTGCCTCGGCAGCTAAAGTCGAGCGGAGTACTCGCTGATGACGGAAAGACTTCCACTCGAGGATCGAATCAGGTCGAGACTCTGATAACACCTGCTTGTCCGTGGCCACCACCAGAAGTCCTCCTTGAGAGCGGTTGTTCGGAGCGTTCCCAAACCCGGAGTCCGCGTAGGCAACGAAGACCAGCTCCTCGAGCGGGATGGACGTCACCTTGTAGCCGGAGTCGTTCGTGGCTCGGATGTAGCGCAAAACCGCATTGATCTCAAGGAGGTCGCTGACGGTGAGGTCGCTCACTGCCCTCTGGATGAGGCTCACGTCGGCGGCCACGTCTGGCCTGGTAGTCGAAGCCAACCACTGCAGCGAGCCGATGCCTGAACGGTACTCGGTGAGGAGGTCGGCATGCGCTGCCAAGCTCGTTGCGGGGTCCAGCTTCACTTTGGTGGGAGGCACTTCAGCAACGTAGCTCTCTTGGTCGACGGACAATGACCAATCGGAGTGCTGCTTGATGCGGCGGCCGATGAAGGTGAACTCAGTGTGTTCCCACGGTCCTCCCCACTCGAAGGCGCCTTCAACTTCATGAAGGTTGGATTCAGAACCTTCCAGAGCAGCTAATATCACATCGTCAACATGGAGACCGAGGACCGAGCAAATCGTCGAGCCGTCCGGGCTCAGCTTCATCCACAGACACGGGTCCAAGGTGTGTCGCATCCACCCCAGGGCCTGAAGCTTGTCGGCCACATGCAGGTACCAACGACGAGGAGCATTCGACTGTCCGTAGACCGGTATCGGTCGGAGGCCGCATAAAGATCGGCTCGGGTCTCTCAGTATCAGGTTTGCCCTGAAGGAAGGCCGACTTGCAATCTCCGTTCCAGAGTCGGGACCCGATGGCTCGTGGCCCACTGTAAGATGCACGCAAAACCAGCTCGGGAGAGGACAGGCGCATCTCTTGTCAGAAGCGGCAAGTGTGGGTCGCGAAAGCCCGCGACAACTATCCTCGCTTTGGCCTTGTAGGAGCCGTCCGACTTCGGTTTCCAACGGTAGCAAACTCTGCTCTTGAGGATCAAGTGGGACGGGATTTTTGACGTGTCCGTCCAAACAGGCACACTCGGACCATTCGGCCCGCAGAGCCTCACGGAAAGCAGGAATTTCCTCGGGCGACATGGAGCGCCAGGGGAGCTCCTTCTTCTTGGCCTGTCGAGCCGCTCTACTTGCCTCGCGCGTCCCATCGTCACCGTCCTCAGAGCTGTCGTTCATGCCGAGGGGGTGCTCCGGGTTCATCTTCTCAGAGTTCGCCGGAGTCGTCTCATCCACAATGGTCGGGTACGCCTTGTACATCGGCTCGTAGATCCAGCTTGGCTGAGGCTCGCGATCATCGTGCACAGCGACTGTTGCCTCGTTGTCAGAGGCCTCCATCCAACTCGTAGGGTAGGCAGTGTAGGTAGGGCGTCGCGGTGTAAAACCCAAGCGAGAGAGCCTGGCCTTGTCGGAGTCCGTAGCCTGAACAACGGAACGACTGGTATAGGCCACAATCGACCATCTCTCGCCCGTGAACTTCTCCGAAAAGTGCAACCTGTCTGGCGCGAACGATATCAAGTTGTTCTTGGTACCTGGTCCGGAGCGGTCCGTCTGAACCCAAGTGCGCCCACCCTTGTAGGCACCGAGTGTGATCTGCCAGTTGAGGGAACCCTTGGCATTGTGACAGTCGCGATGTGGGCTCGCAGTTGAGCCCTTGCTCAGACTCAGGCTCGTGGTAGTCCCCCGGAGTCCCCAGTGACGGAGGTAGTCGTTGAGGTATTTGCACAACCAGCGGTGTTGTCTAGTGGCCTATCGTGCAGCCTGAGAAGTTGCCGTGGCTATAGAGTCCCAGCACCAAACTCTTGCCAGTTACCTCCATCGGAGAGTAGGGAGGCTGGCAATCTGGGGTTTCTCCCAAACACCCACTGACAGGGGGAAGACCCTGACCTTCGAATGAGGGTGTTTTTCGCATGGCAGGCCATGGCCACACAGATGTTCATCTCCGCCACAGTAGTCGGAGCAAATTGCGACACCAGCCGGGAACAAACATATCGGAGCGCTTGTCCATGACGTTCGGCGCGGCCGAGTTGCCAGTGAGCATCGCGGCTGGCACACATCGAAGCTTGGTGCCGCACTGAATCTGTAACACTTCGAAACGCAAACCTCGGAAGGCACCCTCAGCATCTAGCACCAGTTCGTCTGGAGCTCCGAAGAACGAGTACCAACCGTTCATCAATGTTTGGATCACCGTCATTTCCTGGCGGTCGGGAAGGTACTGAACCGAGTGGTAGCAAGTGGCATCGTCCACGCAGCTCAGGTAACCGTACACTGTCCCTTGCACATCCTTCAAGAACAGTATGTCCATGTAGAGGCGGTCGTTGAAACGCCTGGGAGTAAACGCCCGGGCAGGACGTGGTTCACGAGGTGGTTGAACCCGTCGACAAACCTCGCACTGGAGACAACGAGCTCCCTTGACCGCCAGCGAGGAAGCTCCGGAAAGAACCAGTTGCCGCACCAAGGTTTCCTTGGCCGGGTGACCAAGGTTTGTGTGCAACCTTCGAAGGACATTGCACAACCATCTTGGAACGTCCTGTGCTCCAGGAAAACTAATGTCCCGACAGCCGGCCTGATGCGGCTGCATCGTCTCCGCATCCTCTGGTTCCTCTGCTCGCTGTTGTCGTGGATCTCGAGGTGGTTCAGGACGTGAGTTCTCCACAGGGTTCAGGCTGGTGTCCGGGGCATTGCCGTAGAAGAAGATAGCGACCTGAACCGGTTTGTCGAAACGACTTGACGGAGCGTGCACAATCGAACGCATAGTTTCAGCCTCTATGATAACGGTGGAGTCATTCATGAGAAGAGCTGCACCTCGATGTTTGACGCCTTCAGCAACCAGATCGGTAGGAGCCCGTCTCTGTTTGGGAGTGCGGGAGATCTGCACTCGCTTAAGGTCCCAAGGAACCAATGCCTTGATCTGTTCCAAGAAGGGCGACGGCTTGAGAGTGACGGCGGTGGAGACCATGTCGCGCAGCCGTGTTTCAGCCTCTTTCAAGAGTGGGGACCATGAGTCCTCGTGCCGCGTGACATCCAGGAAGTAGCTCAAATAGTGATCCTGGTTGTCAACCTCAGAGTGCCACAAGTCCCACTGATCAATAGAGCTAGACCACGGACCCCTGTTGGCACAGAATCTCTCATCGCCCAGCCGGTGAAGTGCTTCCGTGATCCCGTAGAGAATCTTCTTGGATTCATACATGAGCGAAGCTGGAGGTTCACGATGACAATCCCCAGAAGCTGAAGGTTCACGATGACAATCCCCAGAAGCTGAATGTTCTGATAGTTCTGGAAGGCTGCTGTGCCAGGAGCTGTTGGAGGTTGTAGGAGAGCTCGACGTTCGAGAGCCGATGCGAGTCAACAGCTCTTGACTTTGAGTGTCCAAACGGTCCCACCCCCCAACCAGGAAATGGACCCGATGGTTCTCGTAGAGCTCGGACAACAGACCCAGCCATGCTTGTAGTAAATCACGAGCGGGAGCATTCACCGGGACCTTCCAAATCACAAGAAACGGCTTCCACCGAAGTAGAGCTGCCCGCTGGGTCGTGAGGTCGCCACGGACGATCGCCTTTGTGGTAAGGGGCTGGAGTGTTTTCAAACCCAGCCGAATAGCTTCTTCCGACACATGAAACGGTCCATCATGGATCTCAACGAGGTCTGCCTTATGGAGTCGAAGCCTTCTGCTCGCCTTGGCCCTTGTCTCATAGATCTTCGCCTCGGACTCCCATGCCGAATGCAACACCTTGGAGGCACCTCGAAGTCGCTTTCGGACCCCTTGGCGAAGCACAAAACAGCCCCGGTCCTCCGAACTTAGTGGTTCATCCGGTGAGCCTTGGAGAAGTCCATTTAGAACTCCTCCCCCGTCCTCGTCCTCCTCCTCGTCGAACAGCTGGGCCTCGCCCGTCTCCTCCGCCTCCGCGATGTTCTGTTCCCAATCGTTCAGGGTCCAGTCCTCCGGCTCCAGACCGAGGGCCGGGCTCACCGTGTCCTGGCCGAACATGCCTTCCGAGACCTGTCCCCAGTGAGCCCTCTGTTCTCGCCAGCTCCGGAAAGGAGGATCTGGAGGGGGCTCGCTCGTCACGCTCATGTGCTCCGAGTCCGAACCTGCCCTGCTCGAAGCTCTCCACTGCCTCGGCCGGCCCGCATCCGAGTTCATCTCGAAGTATTGCGCCGTGACCTGGGAAGTTCTCGCTTTCGGCTTGGGCAGAAACTTGGGGCCGGCTGCTCGTGACGGACCATATCCCTGCGATGACGCTGAGGAGGGCTGCAAGAAGTCTCGGGATGCTCTCGGTGGCGGTGCCGGAATTGGTCCTTTTGCTTTGCCCGGGAGCACCTTGGCCTTGGCGTTGGCGGACAGGTTGAGCGGCGTCTTTGAGCTCGGCGTTGCGTTTGGAGTTGCTGGCAAATGAGCCCCGGTGACCGGATTGACCACCGCTCGGTAGCCGCACACGTCGCAGATCATGATCTTCATGCCCGATGCCGCATAGCCCCGAAGGCCTGAAGGATGATTGCAGTTGTCCGGCGTCTTGAGGTACTTGTCCTGACCCATTGCTCGCTGTGCCGCCATAGCTGCCGGTGTGCTCAACATAGTCGCCGCCGTGCTGGGAAGTGCGAAGATCCGGAGGATGCTGTCCTTGAGCGCCGGGCGAAGGCTGATCGCGGAGTAGTGCAGCACCGTATTCTGCACCGACGTCATGAACTCGATCAGGTGCACCAGGAGCGCCTGCCATCGCAGAAGCCATGAAGGAGGTCCTTCCTGACGGCGCGGAGGCATGTGGGGGCGGAGTCGCTGACGAATTTGTCGACAAGTTCTCGAGCTTCACGTGCTTCGGTAGAAATGCACCTGGACACCAAACATCAGGAGGACCTGTAGGAGGAGCTAGAGGACAATCTTCGAGGGGCCAACGAAACTCATGAGGGGGCCGCTCGTCGATTTTCAAAGCAAGGTGACCGCATGGTGACAAGTAAAGCTTGGTTTTGCTTCCATTCAAAGCTTTGAACACCACTTCACCGGCAACTAAATCTGGTACGGCTCCCAAAGTTTCCAATGCTCTTCTGCTCAACAATCCCGGTGCCGAGACCTCAACCTCACTCACAGACAGCATGACACAGTGACCAGCAATGCCTGCAGGGTAGGTGTATCGACCTAGGCTCTGAAGACCAGGACCAGGACCAAAGCTGAACTTGCAGTTCTGGGGTGCAAACAGTCGCTCGAGAGGAAGAATCTCGGACGCCTTTTGAGCATGCCAAGCCGATCCTGCCACCTGCCTTTGGCAGCCGGTGTCCGCAATGAGAAACGAAGCGTCAACATGATTGGTGGCGGCCTGGGCACTTGAAACACAGCATCACGGTCATGTTCTGAATGCCAGGGCGTTTCGTCCTCGACCTCGGCCGACACCATCCAAGCCACCGTGGGGAAACCTTCAGGATCGAGCTCCACATCAACACTCGCGAGCTGGGCTTGATACACACTCGTAGTGGGACAGTCCCTGACCCAGTGCTCCGATGACCCGCATCCGAGACACAAGGCGCCTCGAAGTCTAGCTTGCTTCTGCGCATCAGCACCGGTGGCCTTGCCTTGGCCCTTGGGAGGGCCTTTTGCAAAGGGCTTGCCCTTGCTCTTGCCCTTCCCTTTGCCCTTGCCTTTGCCCTTTGGCGGATTTCCGCCCTTTTTCGATTTGCCCTTGCCCTCGACAGCGTAGTAGCCACGAGCTTGAGCGATGGTGGCCAGCTTCTTCGAGGTAACGGTCAGTGCATTCGCGGCGGAAATCAGCGCCTCGAACTCCTGCTGGGCGTTGTCGTAGTCATGGGAATAGTCGTCGGCACCCTCATCGGCGCCGTCGGGATGCTCGGTTGCGGGGGCCTCATTCTCGACCTCGCCGTCTCCAGTCTCCTCGATGGTGTCATCCACGTAGAGATCTGCTTCCTCGGCCCATTCTTCGTTAGGGTCCCCGTAGTTCTCGTCGCCTTCCAGCTCGCCGAAGTCCTCGGCATTGGTTTGCCAATGCGACCACTTGCCAGGGCGAGTCGCTCTTGACCTAAAAGTCCGCCTTGAAGACGAAGCCGAGGATCGCGTAGAAGCCGAGGCCGAAGAGCGAGAGGTAGTAGCCGATCGTGCCGAAACCGAAAGCGAAGCCAAACCCTTTGGAATACCCGTCACCGACATGCCCGGCGGGAACTGGATGCGGATCGCCTCCAAGATAGCCCGCATGTCGTACTTGTTCCCCGCCGCCAGAAGAAGCGCCGAAGTGGCGCGCTCGTCGATCTTGAGGCCGTCCAGGAGCTTGATCACTAGGGCCTGCTCCGGGTAAGCTGGTACCTTGTTGTCGGCAAGTTTCCTTTCTAACAAACGAAACCTCCGAACAAAAGCCGTAATGCTTTCACCCTGCAGTCTCCCAATGTTCTCAAACTCCCTGATCGTGCCGCCCTGCCTGAAGATCTCGCGTTCGCCGAAGGAAACCTCAAGGTCCGCCAGAAGGCGGCCGATGCCATCCGGATGATCAAACCTGGCATCATCGACTTCCTCGAACTCTTGCTCAGCCTCGCCGCGAAGTTGTTCGAGAGCACGAAGCGCCTGCTCATTCGCGGGGAGGAACTCCTTGGTGATGCGAACCCAGCGCATCAAGCGTCGACGGTAATGTCTTAGACAATACGGATTGGCCTCGATGTCACCGTCGAAAGTGGGTACCGATGGCACAGCTCCCGACCTCCATCGCTTGGAACTGTCCATCGCCTGTTGAGCGACCTTGGCGCCGCCGCGAGAGCCGCGCTTGCGCCTTCTCACTCCATTGCTTCCAGGCAGAGTACCCACGGAACCTCCGCCCAGATCTGCGTCTTCATCATTCGAGTCCGCGCCTGCGCCCAGAGAGCCATTCTGGTCGTCATAGTCGCCGGTCTCAGCGCCAGCGGCGCCCTCTCCTTCAGCATCTGTGCCAAAGTCAGCCTCGTGATCAAAGTCGATCAGATCGTCGTCGAAGAAGGCAGCCATAAGCCGGTAGGGACGCACCCCCGACTAGTCGCTACCAATGTCAACAGCCAACTGCAAAGCGGAGCCTGGACCTAGTGCAAGTCCCTACGGCAGAGGCTCGAGGCTCTTTTCCTAGCGCGCTACCCGATCCCTGAGCCTTCATGTCGAGATTCACAGATGCGTCTGGCCAACTGCACACAGAGCGTTCGGTTGACAACTTGCTGTGTTGCCTGTGTTGTGCTTTCGTGTTCCGCTAGTGTCTTGCAAGAGGAGCAAGGAGCGAAGGCAGGCGCTAGGAAACCGGGGCCGGGCGACCCCTCTTCTGGCCACCCAGGGAACACAGGAGCTAGGAGAGGAGCCGGTGCTTGCGCTAGGTCCGTCTTGCAGGAAGGAGCTAAGGAGCGGAGGAAGGCGCTACGAAACGAGCGGGTTTTGACCCCGCTAGGCAACAGGGCTACAGAGGAGCCAGGCGCAGGAGCCAGTGACTGTGCTAAACCTCCTCCCACGGATAGCCTTCGGCTTCACTACCTTGTGGTAGCTAGCAATTCTTAGCAGTCTCACCCTATCCGTGCCTTGGGCAGCTATGGGAGGAAAGGGCAAGGATGCCCAAGCTACACAGCCTAAGGGCAAAGGGCCCGAAGAGCCCGCTACTGGCGACTACTTGCCAGAGACCCTCCGCGGTCTGCGGAAGGCGCTACGGTTCCGACCATCGGAATGCGCCGATGGTCTGCCACGCACCTGGAGAAGCCACTCAGGATGCGATTGAGACGCTAGACAGGGAGGCCCCTCCCAGGAAGTGGCTAGGGGCCGGGCTCGGCCAGCAGAGAGCGCTAAAATGTTGCAGCGGCGGGTTCTGTCGGCTACCAGCTGGGCAGACCTGTCCCAGGACGACATCGCTAGCCTGGACGCCGCTATGTCAGCGAGCCTAACACAGAGGTTCGCCGCTACCGAAGCCGCCGCGGCTAATGCGGCCAAGGCAAGGAAGCTGAGGCACTGGCCGCTAAGATGGCGCTAGAGAAGAAGGCCGAGTACGACCAGAGGGTCGCGGCGGCCGCGCTAGAGCAGAAGAAGAAGGAAGCCGCAGAGCGGCTCGCTAAGGAGGAGGAGGCCGCCGAGCGGGAGTTCCAGGAGGCGGTGGCCGCTAGCAAAGCCTCCTTGTGCAGGCCGCAGAGGAGGCCGCTAACCGAGATGCAACAGCTAGGGGCAGCGCCGATCCGGCGCCCGCTACCACCGTTGCAGACGCTACCGTGGACCCCACGCTACAACGCTAAGGGCTGCAAGACGAATGGCAGCAAGTGCCATTTCGAGCACGTCTGCTCGCTATGCTTCGGAAAGCACCCCGCTACGCAGTGCCCCACCAAGAAGCAGACGGAGGCCGCTAAGGAGGACAAACCCTCCAACTGACCCACTACCGCAGCGGAGCCCTCAGTGCCTGTGACCCCCCCGCAGGGGGATGCTACGCCAGCTCCAGCCGCAACGCCTGCAAAGCCGCTAAGGGTGCTCTACCTTTTCTCTGGTACCTCGCGCCGGCTAGACGTGGCACAGTGTTTGCACCAGCTAGCGGCAGAACTCGGGCTGGATGTTCGGGTCGAGTGCGTCGACCTTCTTCGGCACGCTGACCTCAGTCAGCCCAAGATACGCCAAGGCTACCTGGACCGGATAGCTAACAAGGAGTTCGATGCAGTGGTGCTTTCTCCGCCATGCGCTAGCTTCTCCAGGGCGCCATGGGCTAATTTCCAAGGGCCCCGTTCGGAGCTATGAATTCCCCCGTGGTCTGGAGACGCTAACGCCGGCAGAACGAGATCGCGCGATCCTAGGCAACATCTTCGCTGTTCGAGGTTGCTACCCTCGTCGCCGAGGGCGCAGCTACCTTTCTGGCGATGGAACAACCAAGGAGCACGGCCGGCCTCCATGTGGCAATGGCCGCCGCTAGCCGACCTTCTGCAAAGGGGCTACGGACGGTGGCTTTCCACCAGGCTAGCTTTGGTACGCCTTACGCTAAGCCAACCCGGCTGCTACTGAAGTGCTCTTCTGCTATGCCAGATTTCGTTCATGAAGGTCCGCCGTGCTACGACAAAAAGGGCCGCTACACAGGACCGCTGCCTTCTGCTGCTACACTGGGACACATGTTCAAGCGCACCGCTAAGGGCCCCTTCAAGACCTCAGGATCCGAAACCAAGGACCTGTGAACAGCTAGGTGGTAAGAGCTACCACGACGGAGGAGGTCTCTGCTTTCGAGGACGTTGGCCCCACGCTACCCGCGGCTACGCGGAGGGCCCGAACTGGGACTGGCTACGGGAAAAGATGATGGAGGTGATCCTCGCTAAGGTGAGGCGGAGCTAGAAAAGGAAGCCTTTCGCATGGCTGCCGGTGGGGCTAAGGGCTGCGCCCTAGCTAGCTCCGAAGAACTCCAGGAGCAGCTACGCTTGGTCTGGAAAGAGTGGTTGGAGGCTACGACCGGGAGACCCGGAGCTACTCAAGGGGCCACGTCTTTGAGGAGCAGCTAAAGTGGCCCTTGGAAAATGCTCCTTGGGAGGCGGCGCTAGCCTGGGTCCCGAACTACTCCTCGATGGAGGAATACCGGGAGTTCGCTAGGGAGAAGTTGGAGGAGGACGTGGCGGAAGGTCTCATGGCTAAGATGACGCTAGGCGAGTTCAAAGCCCGCTACGGTGAGCACCGAGCCATCGCCGCGGTAGCAGTCATCGTCGAAGACGAAGCTAGTGGAAAGAAGAGGATGATCCACGACGCTACCCATGGGGTCCGGGTCAACCATCGCATCAAGTGCCGGGACAAGATCCGGGCCCCAGGGGCTAGGGAAAAGAAGCAGCTACTCCGGGAGCACATCGACGCTAACGAGGCCGTGGTGGGCGACATTGCTAAAGCCCACAGACGCTACAAGCATGCGGAGGGAGAGCATGGCTACCTGAGGAAGCTATACAGCCAGACGGTTTACGGTCTACGTGAACCTGGTGGGGACCTTCGGGCTATCATGCGCAAGCTACTGGTGGACCCGGATAGCGGCGTGTGGGCTTCGGCTCACGTACCACCTGCTAGGGCCATCGTTCCCGCTAGACATGCTACTCTATATGCCGACGACCTCGAGTCCTTGGGCCGAGGGGCTAGAGGACGCATGGGGATCCCGCTTATCTCTTCCTCGCTAGTCTTGGGTACGCTTTCAAGTGGGCCAAGACGAGGGGGGGATTTCGGGTGGAGTGGCTAGGCATGGAGACGGAGTACTCCACGTGGAAGAAGAGGACCGACTGCTAGTGGAATGGCTTCAGAAGCTAGTCCGAGGGGAAGTGCGAGGCCCGACCCTTCGCACAAGGGCTAGGACGCCTGGGCTTTGCTTCCATGGCGCTAGACTGGGAGCGCCCCTTCCTTGGTCCGCTACACGCCTGGTCCTCGGCTATCCAGGGGAAACCGGGACCCACGATGATCCGCGTCCTCTGTGGGTGACCGCTTAGAAGCGGGAGGCCGTCTCCAGAAGCCGGCTTCGCTGCGGCTCCACTCTCCTTCTACACCGATGCTAAGGCCGAGAATGGGCGAGCCTGGATCGGGGGTTTCCTTGAGCTAGTGGACGGCTGGCACGGCCCCTGGTTCTCGCTAGAAGTGAAGAAGGAGTGGGCCCCCTGGGCTTTCGCTAAAGGGGACCCGAACAAGGTCATAGCCGCACTGGAGCTACTGGCTACCCTGGTCGGTGTGAAACTCTGGGTCCCAGAAGGGGAGGCTAAGAAAACCTCCAAGGTTGCTATCCGTGGCTACACTGACAACCAGTCCAACGAGGCGTTACTGAAGAAAGCTATGACGACGAAGTTCCCATCGACCTTGGTGCTGATGGAGCTAGCAGAGGAACTCTCCGCTAAGAACTGTGAGCTTCAGCTACAGTGGATCCGCAGGGATCTGAACCAGCTAGCGGACGACCTCACGAACGAGAACTTCGCTAGTTTCTCCCCGGACTTCAGGGTGAACCTGGAGGGGGAGAAGCTAGAGTGGCGCGTGCTGGGCCGTCGAAGGCTCCGAGGTTCGCTAAGAAGGCCCGTAAGCTAGGTCCCTGGTAGCCCTACGGCTGCGCAAGGAGATTAGCTAGCCAAAGGCTAGAGTTCTTCTCCGGGCTAACGCGGGACTTCGCCACAACGCTAAAAAGAGAGAAGTTCCTGTTGTCCGTGCTACTGCGTGAAGCCAGTTAGCTAAAGCTAGGCTTGCTACGTAGTTGAGGGAGGTGGCGGGAGGATACGCTAGCTAGTGTACGCACTCGTGCCGAGGTACGAGGTACGACAGTGTATGCTAGCGCTAGTATCCCTGTGTGAAACATCGAAGGTGTTTCGCTAGAAAACGTCGAAGGAGTTTTCCTCTGAAGCTAAACAGAACGGTGTCTATCTGTTAGCTGAGTGTTTGCACATGGCCGGTGGAATGAGCACTATTCCGTGGCCATTGTGCTGAAAGGCCCCCAGCTATTGGGGGGCAAATTTCGATTCGAGTGCCCACCCAAAGCTAGGCTTGCTACGTACTCCCCGAAGGTGTTGAGGGAGGTGGCGGGAGGATACGCTAGCTAGTGTACATCTAAGATATCAAGCTTTACAATGAGTCCATACTCCGCTAGTCTTGAGTACAGTGAGCACTTTTAATTGTATATGTGTGAACACGCGGCCATGCTTTCAGTAAAAGAAAATTAGTGTCTGTTTGTTCGCATAAACCTCTAAAGGGGTCATACTTACAGCAATGGCTTGGCTGCATGCTCACATGTATACATGTCCGCTGCTCGCTGGCTCAAGTGGTTTTACCGACTTGACACAAGCTCTCTCTGCGTAGCAGAACAAAACACTCGCTGTCCGTGTGCTGGGCGTTGCCTTAGATCCCACGGGACACAAACTGGTCATACACTCCCACAGGAGTAATCCTAAAGGGGTGTATCGGCTCACCCCCCCCCCCGCCTTGTTGTTTCCCTTTTGAAAGAACAATACCCCTCCCCCCCTTGTTGTTCCCCTTGTGAAGGAACAATAACCCCCCCCCTTGTTGTTCCC